TCATTCCTTGTTTGTTTGGTTTCTCTTCCCCTTGCAATTCATATTTTGATACCAAAAATTTATTGCTGGTACCAAGAGTGTTGATCATGGAGCCAAGCAAACTGAAGCTGTTAACAATCTCAATCTCTTCACTGTCTAGCATGATGCTGCCAATCAGCCCAGTGGTGAGAATCTTTGTTTTCTTGATGTTGAGCTTCTCTCTATTTAAGATTGCAGTCCTTGACCTTCTGCAGCAAGTGCTTCAGGCCCTCCTCAGATTTACCAAGCAAGGTTGTGTTATCTGTAAAATGCAGCTTGTTGATGAGCCTTCCTCCAACCTTGATTCCAAATTCCTCCTCACAGAGCCCAGCCTACTGGATAGTTCATACTGGATATGTTCATACGTGCTGGATATGTTCTGCATAGAGAGTGAAAGGTGTGGAGACAGGACACATACCTGGCAAACACCCTTACCAAGTACAGAGTGGCTATCTAAGAAGGAATTGGCTGACATGGAACCATCTCAGGAAGTGACCAAGAACCAATGGTACAGGACAGTCTCTTTAAGAAAGGGCGTTGGCAAAATTGCAGCAAATTTAAGCAAGACCCACGCCTCACCCCTTATACAAATACCAACTCAAGAAAATAAGGTACCCAGAAGTAAAACCAAAGACTATAAAAGTTATCAGAGAAAATCTAGGAAGAACTCTAGAAGCCCAATTCACAGCATGAGCAGTCTTCCAAGCATATACAATAACCTAAAATTAGGAAAGAATAAAATGGAATGAGATCTTCTAAAAATCAAATTCCTATGCACATAAAAAACTTCTTAAACAAGCTAAAAAGGAAAACCATAGACTAGGGAAAGAGATTTGACAATGATGTATCAGATAAGGGACTGCTATCTAAAATTTATAGAATACTCCAGAACCTCAACAAGAAAAATGTAAACAATCCAATCATAAAATGGCCACAGGGTACGTATAGGCACTTCATCAAAGAAGATATTCAGATGGCAAACACACACATGAAGTAATGGTCAAAATCTCTTGCTCTCAAAGAGAAGCAAATCAAGAAAACTATGAGATACCGTCTTAGCTGAGCAATGGTAGCAAAGTTCAATAGGTCAGCAAACAACAAATGCGGGTGAAGTTGTGAAGAGATTGGACCTCTTTATTCACTGCTAGTAGAAATGTAAAATAGGACAACCACTATAGAAGGTGGTTGAGTCCTTTCTCAAAAAGTTTGAACTAGAAATATCATTTGACCCAGCGATTCCACTACTGGATATATACCCCAAAGAAACCAGAACTATTACTCAAACAAATGTATGTATACCCATGTTTATTGCTGCATTATTCACAATAGCAGAGAGAAGGATGCAACCCAAGGTCCCAACAATAAATAAATAGAAACACTCTGGTACATCCACACTATGGAATTCTATGCAACATTGAAAAATACTGAAATAGCAAACATTACACAACATGGAGGAGCACTGAGGACTTTATGCCAGGTGAAATAGCTCAGTCTCAAAAGGTTAAATGTTACATTACACCACCATTACAAAATAGGACAGATATGGGGGGCTGGGGAGGGAATGGGGAAAGATAGATAATGAGCGTTGCATTAGGACAGATGAGGGGAAGAGCTATCTGAAAGGAATATATGATTATGCATTATGTGTATAAGAACTGTCTGGTACAAGGGGTCATTGTGAGGTGGAGGGGATGAAAGGGGAGGAGAAATTGTGCAACAATGAATAAATAAAAGAGAGACAAAGAAAGGGACCTTATTCAAGTTGCTATCAAGTCAACTATTACTCATGGTGACCTTATATGCAACAGAATAAAGTGTTACTCTTGAAAAAAAAAAAAAAGAACCAGTGGTAATGAAGGAAGAAGTTCAAGCTGGACTAAAGACACTTTGAAAAATAAAGTCCCAGGAATTACTGATATACCAATTGACAGGTTTTAACAAACAGATGCAACCTTGGACAATGTTCACTAGGCTGTGCCAAGAAATCTGGAAGACAACTACTTCCCCAACTGACTGGAGGACTCAAATGATAGTTGTTTTCACTCCTAAAAAGGGTGATTTTACAGAATGTGGAAATTATAAAATGATATCGTTAATTATGCATGTGAGCAAAATCTTGCTTGAAGATTATAGAAAAAAAATAAACATCAACAAAGGATTTCCATAAATTCAAGTTGAATTTAGAAAAGGCCATGGAACTGGAGATAGCATTGCTGATGTCAGATGGATCTTGGCTGAAAGCAGAGAGTAGAAGAAAAATGTTTATCTGTGTTTTACTGACTATACTTTTAAAATAATTAATTTTAATGAACGTTTACAGAGACTTTGGATTTCCATTCATTCATTGTCACATTTTTTCCCTGCCCAACCTCCCCTCTAGTTTGCTCTTCTCTTTGAAAAGTAAAAGAAAAATTCTTTCACTATTATACAATCCCTCCCTCCAAGTCCACTCCACTATGCGGCCTTCGTTCTGGACTCCTGTCATGACAATAATATCTAGTCATATATCCCTTTTAAACAGTTCTCTACCTCATCTGTTTCAATGCAGTATACATAATTTATCTCATCTTTCTCAGTCTCCCCCAACCCCAAAGTCAGTCTCGCTTTACAACAATGGTACTATGCAGTATTTGTGACTGTACTTTTTGACCATGTGGATTGCAACAAAATATGGTGAATATTGAGGAGAATGGCAATTCTAGAACACTTAATTCTGCTCATAAGATACCTAGATTTAGACTAAGAAGCTATTCAAACAGAGAAAGGGAACACTGTATGATTTAAAATCCAGAAAGGCATGCATCAAGGATTTATCCTTTCTCCATATCTATTCAATCTGTATGCTGAACAAATAATTCTGGAAGTTGGACTTTATTGAAGAAGAATGTGACATCAGGATTGGAGGAAGGTTCATCCACAATTGTGTTATGCAGATGATACAACCTTGTTTGCTAAAAGTTAAGAAAAACCTGAAGCACTTACTGCAGAAGATAAAAGACTGCAGCTTCTCAATACAGATTACATCTCAACATCAAGAAAACAAAAATCCTCACCACTGGGCCAATAGGCAACACCATGTTTGATGGAGAAGGGATTGAAATTATCCATAATTTCATTTTACTTTAATCCACAATCAATACCCTTTGTACAAGTAGTCAAAATATCAAAAGACATTGCATTAGGAAAAATTAGCTATCAGGGACCTCTCTCCACAGCTCTGTGGAGCAATGATATCAGTTTAAAGACTAAGGTGCCCCTGATCTAATCCATAATCTTTTCAATCACTTGCTATGCATCTGAAAGTTGAACAATGAATAAGGATAACCTGAGGAAAAAAAATGTTGCCTTAGGCTGTGGTGTTGGAGAAGAGTACTGAACATCTCATGGACTGTCAGAAGAGCAAACACCTATCTTGGAGAAAGTGCAACGAGGATGCCCCTTAGAGGCTTGTTGTCAGCAGGGGCTGTGCTTGTGAAAAGGCATCATGCTATAGAAAAGTGAGATAGAGGATCAGCAAAAGAAAGGAAGACCGAAATAAACTGACTGTTACAATGGGGCCAAGTATACCAAGTATATCAGAGACGCTAAGGATGGCACGGGACAGAGCAGGACACAGATGTGCAGTTCACAGGGTTGCTGTCATAGTCCACTTGATTGATGGTGCACAACCACAGCAACACTCTGAATACATTGTTCAACACAAAACTCATTGCCATCAATGAAGTATGGACCCTCTAAGCAGGTTTTCAGAGGCTTTAAATTGTAGGGGAGGAGTCTGCCCAACTTTCTCCTATGGATAGATTAAAAGCTGCCTTTGCTTGGAGCACAACCCCCTTACCCACTAGGCCAACAGAGCTCTAGTAGCAATGCAAACACACGTGCTCCTAGTGTAGGCGGATAAACCCAAAAGATTCCACACTTCATTTAATTAGGTAATAAACACAACTTTGACTAGGACAGATGTTACAAAGTTCAAAGGGCAAATGAACATAGAGTTTTTGCCTTGAAAGGATACTGAGACATGTAATCTAGGTTTACAAAAAAGTTTGTGGTTCTTACAACCAACTATAGGGATATGTTCATAAAAATCAATGTATTTCTGCTGAAACGCTGCACAAAAATGATAAACAGCCTTTTTGGTGGTACCTCTTCCAATAGTGTTACTTGGTACAGCTGGTTCCACCTCTCTCATAATTTATAGCACACATGTTGCTGGATACTTTTCTTTCTAAACTCATATAGTAGGGCATGCTCTCCGCCCAAGGCAAAGATCAAATGTGCTGTTTGCTTGAGAATCACACAGTAGTTATCTCAGTAGATGCTACTCATTCTTTATTATCCTTATGAGCAAACCATTGGCCTTGGGTTCATATTTCTCCTCATGTGCAGGAAGTCACACCCTCTTTTAGTGTAGATTGTGTTCCTGGGCTCCTTCCACCGACCACATCACAGAGGCTCCCTCTCCAAGCAGTAGGTTGCTCTGGGTTGCTGTGAGCTCCCCAATGGCGCCTGCAGCTCTGACGGGCTTCCTTGCTCTGTGTGCCTGGCTTCTGCTGACATCTGGCTTTGCTGGAGCCGGCAAGCTGCTGGTTGTACCCATGAGCGGGAGTCACTGGCTCAGCATGCGTGTCGTGGTGGAGAAACTCAGCCAGAGGGGGCACGAGGTGGTGGTGGTTATGCCCGAGGTGGGTTGGCACCTGGACAAATCCCCCAACTACATGGTGAAGACTTACTCAACTTCTTACAAATTGGAGGACCTGAATCGTGAGTTCTTGGTTTTCACTAATGCTCAGTGGAAAAGTCAGGACTCCAACTTATTTTCTTTATTGACGAGCCCACTCAATTCTTTTTTTGAATACATTTTTTCGCATTGTAAGAGTTTGTTTAATGATGAGAAATTGATAGAGTTCTTAAGAGAAAGTGCTTTTGATGCAGTGTTTACAGATCCTTTTGATATGTGTGGCTTAATTGTCGCCAAGTATTTCTCACTCCCATCCGTGGTCTTCACCAGGGGACTATTTTGTCATTTTCTTGAAGAAGGGGCACAGGCCCCCAGTCCTGTTTCTTATGTTCCCAGGTTTCTTTCCGGATTTTCAGATACCATGACTTTCTGGGAGAGAGTGAAAAACCAAGTATCTCGTTTGGGGGAGCAAATGCTTTGCCACAATATTCTCACAAGTACTTTACAAATTGCTTCTGAGATTTTGCAACAGCCGGTCACAGCTTATGACCTCTACAGTCACACGTCCGTCTGGTTGTTACGAACTGACTTTGTTTTTGACTATCCCAAACCTGTGATGCCCAACATGGTCTTCCTTGGAGGCATCAACTGTGAGCAGAGAAAGCCTCTGAAGCAGGTGAGTCACTTCTCCTTGAGGTCATTATGATCAATCAGGGTACTGGAATAACATGCTAACTTCATCTGGAATTTATCATTCATATGTGTTAAATTTTTCATTTCTTAGCTGTGATGGCCAAGCAGGTAAGGACTTGCATTGCTGACTTCAAGGCAGGAGATTTAAATCTCCTATCTCTTCCTGCGGGAGAAAGATGGGTAAACTCCTCCCACGTGATTTACAGCCTCTGGAAACGTGCTGGAGGGTCAGTTGTGAGGGGATTCCCACTGGATGGCACATGACAGCAATGCTTGTTGAATGATCAATTTTATGCTAATTCATTTAGTTGTGGGTTAACCCATATTATAAAGTGATGCTCTTTAAAGTCTGTATTGTACACTATTCAAGTCTTTCCAAGCTGCACTTTTTAAGACACTTCACCAGAGAAGACATTCAGATGGCAAACACACATGAAGACATGTTCAAAATCCCTAGCTCTAAGAGAGATGCAAATCAAAACAACTATATCATCTCACCCCAGTAAGAATAGCAAAATTTAACAGAGCACCAAACATCAAATGCTGGCGAGGTTGTGGAGAAATTGGAACCCTTACTCACTGTTGGTGGGAGTATAAAATGGTGCAACCACTATGGAAGGCAGTATGGCACTTTCTCAAAAAGTTGGAAGTAGAAATACCATTTGACCCAGCAATTCAACTACTGGGAATATACCCTAAAGACACCATAACCACCACCCAAGCAAATATACACACCCATGTTCATTACAGCCTTGTTCACAATAGAGCTGGAAACAACCTAAGTGCCCATCAACAAATGAATGCATAGAGAAGCTGTGGTATGTTCACACAATGGAATACTGTGCAGCAGTGAAAAACAAAAGAACTCATAAAATATTATTTAAAATTGGTGACCCTGGAGGGCATTATGCTGAGTGAAATATCTCTGTCATAAAGCGACAGATACTGCATAGTGCCACTGTTGTAAAATGGGACTAACATTGGGGTTGAGGGGAGAGTGAGAAAGAGGGGACAAATAATGTATACTGCATTGAAACAGATGAGAGAGAGAACTGTTTAAAAGTGATATACGATGGCGAGCTCTGGTGGCCTAGTGGCAAGAAGCTGCACTGCAATCCCAGAGATGTGAGGTTTGAATCCACCAGATGCTCTGCTGAAGAAGGAGGCACAATCTCCTCCTGTACCAGTCAGATCTCATTTGACGGTACACACATAAAAAAAAAAGTAATAAAAAAAATTTAAAGAAAAGTGATACATGATTAGGTATTATTATCATAACAGGAATCCAGAATGAAGGCTGCATAGTGGAATGGACTTGCAGGGTGGGATTATATAACAATGAAATAATTTTTCTTCTACTTTTCAAAGAGAAGAGTGAATTGAGGGGGAGTGGTGGGCAGGGAGAAAAATGCAATAATGAATGAATGGAAATCCAAAGTCTCTGTAAGTGTTCCTTAAAAATTAAAAAAAACAACCCCATAGTATGAAATGAAATTGACCTTTTTTTATAATCCTGTGTTAATCACATGGGAAAAGGGAATGCAATTATTTTTTATTATTTTCTGTATTAATTTCTTATGCCTATGTTGTTGTGTGCTGTCAAGTCGGAACCGACTCATAGCTGACCCTCTAGTGGGTTTTCAGAGGCAGTAAATCCCATGGGAGGAATTGCCCATCCTTCCCCCATGGAGCAGCTGGTGGATTTGAACCAGATACCCTCGGGATTTCAGCACAACTTTATACTACTAGACCATCAGAGCTCCTTATTAATCCATTTAGAAAATGTAATTTTCATAATTAATCCCCAAACCAAACCCATTGCCACTGAGTCTATTCAAACTTCAAAGTCTCTGTAGCCAGAGTAGAATTTCCCTGTAGGGTCACCAAGGCCAAGCTTTACAGAACCAGTATGTCCTATCTTTTTCCTACAGAGGAGTTGGCAGATTCAAACTGCTTACCTTTTGATTCCAGACCAAGGCTTAATCTAAATCACACCAGGTCTGCTTTTCCATACTCATTTTACTGAAATAAAGTTTGTAATCAGACTGGCCATATTATTTTTGTCTCTTGCGCTTTCCACTTGTTAATACATTGTAGACATCTTTGTCTTATTATTATTTTTCATTTTTTTACATTTCATTTTTTTGTTTGTTTTCTTTTCCCCTGCTAATTTATTTACAAAATTTGAATATATTCTTTCAATTTCTCTCACCCCCCCCATCAAATTGTATAACCCAATGATTAATCCCCCTTTCCCCCTGCACATCCACATCCCTCTGCTTCCAGCCTCTCCCATCCCTCCTGAATCCTTATACTCATTCTACAATAACAGTTTGATACAATATTTATCCTTGTGAGACTGAGTTAGTTCACTAAGCATAATGCTCTCCAGTTCCTCCCAAGTTAGGTAATAATTTACAACGTTATGACTCCTGTGTGCTACATAGTATTCCATTGTGCGAATGTACCATAATTTCTCAATCCCATTCGTTTGTAGTTGGACATTTGGGCTGTTTCCATGTTCTTGTGATGGTGAATAATGCTGCTATGAGCACTGGTGTACAAATCTCAGTTTGTGCCTCAGTTCTCATATTCTCAGGGAATATTCCAAGTAGTGGAATAGTTGGGTATATGGAATTTCTATGTTCAGCTTTTTGAGGAAGTGCCAAATTGCCTTCCAGAATGGTTGCACCATTTTATAGTCCCATCAACAATGTGTAAGAGTTCCTTCCTCGCCACATCCTCTCCAACATCTATTACTTGCTGCCCTGTTAAACTTTGCCACTCAGTGGAGTGAGATGGTACCTCATTGTGGTTTTGATTTGCATCTCTCTTATTGCCAGTGATTTGGAACATTTCTTCATGTGTCTGTTTGCCATTCAAATATCATTGTAGACATCTTTGAAAGTCAAATCTATATAGAAATCTAGTGTATTTTTAATCATTGTATAAAATTCTTTACCTTGGATATTCCAAAGTTTACCCAACCAGCCAACATTCAATTCTTCAGGGAGGACAGCTTTTCAAATGTGCTCACAGTCCTTTAATCCTCAACCTTGAAGCTTTAGGTCAGTGTTAGAAAGCTCTCTTAGTTCTGATCATTGTGGAGTCTGCCCCTCAGGGTCTACGTCTTCCTACAGTAAACTTGGGTAAAGGTCCCTGACTTTGCAAAGTCCTGGATCTGGCTAGAGGTTTGCCTGTGATATCATCTAGTAGAATGGGATGTAGGTAGATGAGTCACATTTCCACAAATCCCTGGAATGGATGTGGAGTTGTCAAACTTATGTCATCGTTTCGGAGGGCTCTTATTGGAAAAAGACCACAACAATGCTCATACGTCCCTGAGATGCTTGCAAATAGCCATTCCGGTCAGTGGTAAGAGACCCCAAGTCTTCCCTTAGAACCTGAGGAGTTGTCTTACTTCGGAGCAAAGAACTTTTGATAGTCTGAGAGAGGGGAAATTAAAATTGTATTTCCAGAAAACTCCCCATATATGACCTTTCTGCAACTTTATTTCTAATATTTCTGAGTCCTCAGTGTCAAAATGCTGGGATCAGTGTCACCCAGCTTGGTAGAAACCACACTGCGGACCCACTTCCACACCAGACATACACAATCCTAGGTAATATTTTTCATAAATTTTCATTTTAGAATAATAAGGGGCAAATATAATCATTTAGCTGAAAATGAACACTCTTGTTGTTGGGTGCTGTGAGTCCGCTATGCCTCCAAAAAGCCCTCTGAATAACAGAGGGACACCCTGCCCCACCCTGTGCCATCTTCAGGGTCTCTGCCACATGCAAGCCCCTGCTGCAGTGTCAGGTTGCCTGAGCTCCCTGTGCGTAATGCAGGCTGGATATTGAAAATAGATTTTCTAGCTCCCAGCTTTAACTTCCCCCATGTACCCGAGTTGTTGTTATGTACCATTGAGTCAGAACCAACCCATAGCTGACCCTCTAGTGGGTTTTCAGAGGCAGGAGGAGATTACCCATCCTTCGCACATGGATACAAACCGTGTACCTTTGCACCAGCAGCGCCATTCCTTGTCACTAAGCCACCAGAGATTCCTGGGAGTTGGGAGATGGCTTAGAGCATGCAATTACTATCGAGGGAATTAGCCAGTCTTGCCATTCCACCAGGTTTAGTGGCCGAAAATAGGAATCTTGAAACGAGCGATAAAGAAGCAGCAGAGCATGTACCATCAGTTCAGTCAGGCCAGAGGTTCCTGCGCGAGTCAGACGGGTCAGAGCGACAGCAGCAGCAGCAGAAGCGGAGAATCAAAGGCCTAGGTGAGAAAGAGCTGACTCAGGATTGCTACCGCATTGAGCCTGAGCCAGAGACCTTTGCCCAAGCTTAGTGGAGGGCTGGGATGGGGCTGGGCATGCCATAATCAGTGGCCCTAAGACAACTTTGTAAAACTGACTTAAAGCCAAGAGACTAAAGGTCGAAGGGCCTGTGAGTACACCTGGCTGGATTGTGTCCAACCTGAACTTTAGCTTGTTAACTTCCCTAATAGACCCCACAATGGTGAGGATGGTTCTATGAGCTCTGGGTGGCCAAGCAAAGCTCTGGCAGAGGTGATGAGAATTAGAATTGGCAGAAGTTGGTTCAAGGCATAAGCCCGCATGTCTGACCTCATGAAAATCAGTTTTGTGTAGAGGATGGCGACTGTTCCCATTTGTGGAGTTAGTGGAGGTCAGACTTAGCTGTGTCCACACAGGCCACAATCTTTTAATACTGTGTGTCTACCCATATCCGTAAGGGCTTTCTTTGCACTGTCCCTCCACTTTTCCCAGAATGAGGCCTTTTCCCACGGACTGGCCAGGAAAAAGCCCAAAATATGTGAGCTGAAGCATCACCCATCCTTCCTCTAAGGAACGCCTGGTTGCACTTGCTTCAAGACAGATGTCTTGGTTCTTCTGGCGGTTCATGGTGTTCAATACGCTTCACCAACACCATAGTTCAAAGGTCCACATTCTTCTTCCTTGTTCATTGTTCACCTTTCACATGTAT